TGGTAGTGTGAAGTCAGAAGTTAACTGTTTTGTTTATAGATTCGTTTAACGTATGAGTTATCTGGAATATGGGGCCTTTTTGAACCATCTCTTAAACTAGATGGAGTAGGTGAAAGAAAATCGGGTTAATTGGTTGAGAAATTTGGCAATGCTAAACCTGCACATTCATCACGAGAGGCACCGCCTACATTGGAATGTGAAAGTTTGGACTTGCAGATCCGGCAAACTAATGACTTCATAAGAATGCAACCGGTGAATTAAAATTGGCAAATCGAGAAAATTGTGCTTAGTAATTAAATAGTATCTGGAATGCCATACCGGACCGTTATACGCATAGGTGGTCGAGTAGTCATAGTATCCGTGTCGGAGATCATGAGTTCAGCACTTGTTGGTGCACACCCATTGATGTGGTTGGTTAATCGAACTGTCAAGGTCCTTTGGTTTAAAAACGAAAAATTCAATTGATCAAAAATTTGCCAATTTATCCAACAACAGTATTAGCTCCAGTGAACAAATCACATCAAAGGTCTTTTGATCGATAATGGATGTAAGTAGGTCAACTTGTTATTATTTACATATAGATTCATGTCCACTTCTCGAAAATTATAAATTGAAATAAAAGCTTATTGGAGATTTGAAGCACTTGAAGAGACAATGATGGGGTCAACTTTGACTGATTTGACTGGGGTAGCCAAGACTCAATAATATTCATATAAAGTATGTGGGTGATCTTTTAATTGTCAGTTAGTTTCAAAAAATATTAAATTTTAAGGTGGAAATTGAAACTGGACTTGACTGTTTCAAATAATTATACCGCACAAATAAACCCAAGTGGGCTTGATTTCATTAAGAAGGAAATGTCTATTTGATTTTACTTATTCTATCACGAATTCGATTGTCTTCAGTTTAAATAACATGTTTCGTGTTAAATAAGATAATCGCATTACCCGTATTGAAGGCATCTATTGACCAATAAAATAAAAATATTTTTTGAAGCAAAAGAATTCCGTTACCATCAAAATTTTCAATTTTGCAATGGGGTAACGATATGAAACTCTAAATTATGGAAGAGACATGAGCAAGTTGAAAGAGTGTTCATTGTCCTTTTACACGAGTGCATTGTGACCGCTTACTCAAATACCCTTCCCAAAAATAAAATAAGTAGAAGCCTCCATAACAAAAATTTGGCATTGCACTTACAAAAAATGTGCTTTGAAACATATGAAACAATTTATATAATTCAAATAAACGTCAGATTGATATTCAATCGTCTAAGGCTACTTGAATTCTTAGTACCAAGAGTTGTCTTTGGGAAGTCCTTTAATGAAATGATCCTCCACAGTCTCACATGAGCGATATTCATTGCCGCCATCCAGATCTATGATAAACAATGCAGGAAAAGGATCCCGCGGGGCGAAATTCAGGCGGGTACTTTATGTGCTTTAAAACTATATTGCCGTCTTCCAGATTATTCTTAGGTATGGCATGGAATGAGGAGCTATCGGAGCTAGATTCAGACGACGCCGTTTCTCCCTTTAAAATTTCATTGCCGACTTCCCTAACTTTGTTCGTCTTTGCATTGGAGAAAGAGCAAACGCGGGTTAATGCAGACACCAAACTTCTCAAGCTTAAAACTAAATTGCGTTCTACCACATCTTTGTTCGGCTTTGTAGGGAAGAAGGAGCCGACGGTTGGAAATCCTATCGGCGAACATAACCCCTTAAAAACAAAATTGCCATCTTCCTGATCTTTGTTCAGCTTTGCAGTGGAGATAGAGCCAACGTGACGTAATTTAGATGGCAACAATTTCCCCCTTAAAACTACATTGCGTTCTGCCATACCGTTGTTCAGCTTTGGAATGAATGAGGAAGGAACGGAGGTAGATTCAGACGACGACAGTTCTTCCCTTAAAGCTACATTGCGTTCTGCCATACCGTTGTTCGGCTTTGGAATGAATGAGGAAGGAACGGAGGTAAATTCAGACGGCAACCATTTCTTGTTTAAAGCTACATTGCGTTTTGCCATACCGTTGTTCAGCTTTGGAATGAATGAGGAAGGAAGGGAGATAGATTCAGACGACGACATTTCTTCCCTTAAAGCTACATTGCGTTCTGCCATACCGTTGTTCGGCTTTGGAATGAATGAGGAAGGAAGGGAGATAGATTCAGACGACGACATTTCTTCCTTTAAAGCTACATTGCGTTCTGCCATACCGTTGTTCAGCTTTGGAATGAATGAGGAAGGAACGGAGATAGATTCAGACGACGACATTTCTTCCTTTAAAGCTACATTGCGTTCTGCCATACCGTTGTTCGGCTTTGGAATGAATGAGGAAGGAACGGAGGTAGATTCAGACGGCAACCATTTCTTGTTTAAAGCTGCATTGCGTTCTGCCATACCGTTGTTCAGCTTTGGAATGAATGAGAAAGGAACGGAGGTAGATTCAGACGACGACATTTTTCCCTTGAAAATTTCATTGCCGTCTTCCAAACCTTTGTTCATCTTCGCCTGGAAAGATGGGCTATCGGAGCTAGCTTCAGACGAAGAATTTTTCGCAGTTTGTGGTGGATCTGGTTTGAAGATATTATATATAACTTGCCAACAGCAAGAACAACAACCTGACGCTGGCGGTGGATCAGTATTATAAGGTTTATTTGTCACCGGATTTTGTAAATGAACATTGTCATTAGTCATGTTTGGGAAATCAAACGTCGGGTAGGCAACACTCGACAACTGTGAGAAATGGTATTTATGGGGACGCGTTACAACCGTTGTGCTCCAGATGACCTTGAGAAGCTAACACCCACATCATTAGCGCAACCAATCAGTTCGAGGAGGCGAATTAAATTTGTGAGTGATTTTTTAAGCGGGTCTGCTTATGTGCGCGAGTGAGAGAATCAAATGTGTTCCGGTTGTCAATGTCTCGACCATTGGTTAGATATATCTTGAAGTGATTAGTTTTAAAAAGCATTTGTTGTTTATTGATGAGGAGGGCTCATGAAAATGTGAAGACTCAAAATCAGAGGATTGAGCCAATGAAATGGATGGTTTAATACGGTGTTTGGTGAACGTCAGGTGCCTCTCAATGGAACTGCGCAGTATGGGTTATGTGGTTTGATATCGTGCAGCATTTCACGTTACAGCAATAGAAAGTAATAGCGATTGAAATCCAAACAGCTCAATTGGTATACTATTGAATGTAAATAGCTTAGAGTGATTGATGTAATGTATTTGTTGGATTAACTAAGTAATCAATTTCCAGCGAAAATGAAATGAACAATTTGTTATTGACTATTGTATGGGATAAGCAGACAAATGATAAATTGTGCTGAATTGCATTGTCGACGCCCTCCACATTTTCTGAGTAAAGGATTCTCTTTAAGGCA